CCTACTAGCTGAAGCCCAATTGGACTTCAAACAGGCACTCCAACTGTATTTGTCATTGGATAATGCAGCAAGTGAAGCAGGATATGCCGACGGAAGAGCGCACCCTCGCCAGGCCGACTGAGCCTGCGTGACACCATTTGAGTGACAGCAATTGCACAGCCTCACTGAGGACATATCCTGAACAGAGGGACTCTAGGTCAGCCCACAACAAAACCCCAAAACAAAGCCAAGCCTCAGCCAAACTGTTAACATTTTCTTCAGGATCCAGGCCGCAGGCCATTGTAATTGCTGCCGTAATGCAGACATCAGACAGCAAAAGAGTCGCAATAGGCCTCAATTGAGTAGTGGAACTCATAGGCCGGTGTTCCGGAGAGCGTACACCCTGGAAAGTCCACCAACACCTGGTTTGAAACAGTTAAATTGCTTAGGATCATCCAAATCAGAAGCAAAGAAAATCAACATCTGGTTAAATGGTCACCTGCTTCAAATGGAGGTCGATACCGGCACGGCCGTTTCAGTGATCGCAGAAGTGGTCTTTAACAGAATTTGGTCTGGAATCCAACCCTTAACTTTGTATAAGAGCTCAGCAGGCTGAGAACTTTTACCGGGGAATGCTGACAGATTATGGATACAACTTCGGTTCCGGTCTCTAGTGAGAAACAGCTGGTTCTATTGTCACTGATTGCAGTAAAAGGCTTGGGCCCAGGCTCAATGGTGGTGGTGGGGGGGGGGGGGGGAGTTGAAATTGTTTGAGAAAGATTCAACTTGGTTGGCTCGACATTTTTTGATTAGAAAATGGCTGCCTGAGTGAAATCCTAATTCAATAAAGTTTCTCAAGAAGGCCGAAAGACTGTCAAAACCATCAAGGCCACCTTACGTGTTGACCAAGAAGCAATTCCATGATTCTTCAAGGCCCACACAATGCCATTTGCCTCATGTGCAAAAGTACAGGCAGAAATCAAAAGGCTGGAAAGAGAAGGAATCAACAAACTAGTGCAGTTTGCAGAATGGGTAGCACTGGTCACACCGATAGTGAAGGTCGGTTCGCCTTTATGGGGATTTCAAACAAGCAGTAAACTGCCTTTTGTAGTTGGATAATTACCCAATTCTTCACAGAGAGGATTTGTACGCAAAATTGGTGGGTGGGCCTGTTGTTCATGAAGCCAGACATGAGCCTTGTGTACCTGCAATTGTCGTTGGATGAGGATTCCCAGGAGAAGGCTACAATTCATACACATAAGGGTTTGTACCGATAATACAAGAGTTTGCCTTTTGTGCCATTATCCAGGGCACGATGGAGAACATTTGCAAGGTCAGCCGCAGGGTTCCATTTATCTGGATAACGTGCAAATGACCAGGAAGACCAATAAAGAGCACTTGGAGAATTTGGCCATAGTGCTGAAATGTTTCTCCCAGCAGGGTGTACACCTTAGAAGGGAAAAATGTGTATTCCAGGCAGCCCAAGTGACCTAGTTGGGTTCCAGAGTTGACAGAACGAGGTTACACCCGTTAGAAGATAAAGTGAGAGCAATCAAAGGAGCCCGAGCTCCCACGTCTGTACCGAACTTAGGTCTTTCCTTGAATTGGTGCATTATTACAGAAAATTCACACATAACCTGGCCTTCATACTGGAATCCTGACATCTACTACTGAAAAACGTTCAGCTTTGGAAATGGTCTCATAGCCAAGATGTAGCCTTCAGGGGAGTAAAGAAGCAGCTATCATCGTCTCAGTTGTTGGCACACTATGATCCAAACTGAGATGCGGTGCTGACAATGCAATGCCTCCCCATACAGTAATGGGGTAGTGGTGGCTCACCGGTGGTCCAGTGGAGAGGATCGCCTGACAACGTACCTTCCCAGACATCGGCTGATGCTGAATGAAAATATGCCCTGATAGAGAAGGAAGATTTGGCTGTCACCTTTGGCATGAGAATGTTCCACCAACACCTTTACGGATGTAAATTTGTAGAGGACTGTATATTAGTAAGGGGAGCAAGAATAATTGCCCTGAGCAAAGGTCGCCATCAGATACTTGCTGAACTCCACCAGGGTCATCTAGAGGTTTTCAAAATGAAGATGCTGTTCACAAGTTATGTTTGGTGGCCAGGACTGGATGCCGACATTGCTGCATTGGTCAGGCAGTGACTAGTGTGCAAATAAGGGCAAAAATTAACACCACCTCCCCCACATTTGTAGGAATGGCCAGGTAAACCTTGAATTCTGTTACACGTTGCCTATGCCAGGCCTTTCATGGTATCTTTGTTCTTAATCATAGTGGACGCCCATTCAAAGTGGTTGGACATGTACAGAATTAATTCGTCAAATACGGGGACAATGGTTGAAAAGTTGCAAGCATCTTTTGTAACACACAGACTCCCCATAGTGTCGGTCAGACAAGGGGCCATCATTTCCCATCAGGGAGTTTGAGTATTTCCTAAAGTCGAATGGTATTCATCATAAAAGGACAGCTCCATACCACCCATCATCCAATGGTCTGGCAGAAAGAGCAGTCAAAACTTCAAAGGCAGGATTAGAAAGGCAGCCTTCAGCTTCACTAGATACCAAACTGTTCCAGTTCCTATTTGATTATCGAACTACCCATTAACGAACTAAGGGGATAGTTCCAGCAGAGTTGCTAATGGGGAGAAGACTCCACACTAGGTTAAACCTGATGTTCCCGGACCCTGGGGGAGGGTGAAATGGCATCAGGAATACCAGTGCTGGACACAATTCCTCTCTAAGTGAGAGAAGCAGTTTACTTCAGAGGAGGAAATTTGCTGTAGAAACCATGGGAATGGCCCTGAGTGGGTAAGAGACATGGTCAATGTGAGATCATAACCTGTGAGGTGCAAAGATCTGGCAGGAGAGGCAGTCCTGAACAAACACATGGACCACATGAAAGCAGCAAACTTGCAAACGGGACAGGAGCAAAACATACCCAGCTGCTCTGAATATCTGGCAAAGCTGTCAGAACCAGGGAGTTCTTCCCATCTGCCCAGCCCTGAAGAAATCTGAGGACCAGAGGGACATGTCAGATGTCGCAGCATTGACACTGTTATCGCCTGAAGAAGAAAATTAATTTCGGCTAATATGCTGTGGAGACAACAGGTAGGCTATGGTCTGGTACACGCCACAAGTATTTGAGGCAGAGTTAGAGGAACCAGATCTAGTGTGCATACGCCCCAGGAGAAGCTACAGGAAAAAAAAATAGGCCCCACATCCCAGGATGTAGAGGGGTAGGGATTTGTGATTGGAACAAGGTCAGCCAGGTGGACCTAACATAATATGAGTTCCCTGATTGGGGCTGTTAACCTTGTTCAATCAGGGAGTTCTGGCTGACAGATAGAAACAGGAATGTCAGGGGTTCTGCTCACTCTAGGAGCTGGCTCTGTGCTACCTGCGTCAGTGTCAGGTACTATGCACGTGTAAATACACTCTGACTTGGTGACGGGATACCCGCCTTCGTGAAGTTATTTCAAATACAATTGTGAAGTGTG